GTCTCTCCTCCCTCCTCTCTCGTTCTCTTTTTCTCTATCTCTCTTTCTCCCTTTCTATCTTTCCTCTCTATCAATCTCTGTGTTTCTTTCTCTCACTATCTCTGTATATATCTTTTTCTCTCTCTTACTATATGTATCCCTCTTTTTTTTTTCTATCTGTCTCATTCTCTTTTCTCTCTCTATCAATCTTTGTCTCTTCTATCTAATTATCTCTATATATCTCTCACTATGTATCGCTCTCCCTTCCTCTCTCTGTCCATCTGTCTTTCTGTATACCTGTTCTTTCTTTCTCTTCCTATCTCCCTCCCCGACTCCCTCCCTCCCCCAACTCCCTTCCTTCACTCTATCAATCGATCTCTCTCTCATTCTCTCTCTTCTCTCTTTCCTACTTTCTTTGTCTCTACATATCTCTGCTGCTCTCTCTCGCTCTCCCCTTGCGTGTTAAGACCTCATGGCTCCACGGTGGAGAGTGAGACTGAGCTTGGCTACGTGGCGGGAGCATCCCCATGACAGCGACTGGACCGGCATGAACCACAGGGCCCAAGGGTGTGAAGCATCTCCCTTGACAGATGGCTGGCTGTTTCTAGAGATCTGCTGTGCATGGCGTTTGGGGAGGGTGGGGGTGTGGTGTGTGGGCAGAGGGTGTAAGCTGATCGATTGTGAGGGCTCTGGGGCAATTGCTGTCCCGGTGATCAGTGGGTGACGGGCATCAGGAAGGAGGGGATCTGGGCCAGAGTGTTGATGTTGGGGAGTTTGTATTTAAGCTACACGCGTGCGTGCACCCAGCATCCCGTTGACCCCGCTGTTCTCCCCCCCCCCCCCCCCCCTCGTCTCTCTCAGGAGGAGAAGCACAGGCGGTACAAACAGAAGCAGAAACGCAAGCAGAAGGTGAAGCATTCTGAGAAGGTGGACAGTAAGGAGCAGGCAGGACTGCGGCAGTGCCTGGGACCCAGCTGTGTGCTGCCCGCTCGCCACAGCTCCAAGTACTGCTCTGACGAGTGTGGCATCAAGTTAGCTGCCAAGTAAGGCCCAGTCTTTCTATCCCACCCCTCCCATTGCCCCTGCCCACCTCTCTCCTAGCCCACACCTCACCCTCTGACCTCGTCCCCCTCCTCTTGCCCTCCACACTCCTACTCATACCCTCATTCTCTCCCCTTTCTCCTCGCGCCGCACCCCTCTCCGTCCCCTTTCTCCTCACGCTCCCCCCTGCCCTTTCTCCTCATGGAACCCCCCTGTCCCCATGCCCGCCCTCCCTTCATCATCCTCTCTCCATTCTCTCGCCCTGTCTTCCCCAGACCTGTCCCCTCGCCCTCCCACCTGCCCCTCCCCTCCATCCAACTCCATGCAGTCTCTAACTCCTGATGTATGCTCCTCCACCCCCTTACAGCCGGATCTACGAGATCCTGCCCCAGCGGATCCAGCAGTGGCAGCAGAGTCCATGCATCGCCGAGGAGCATGGGAAGAAGCTGCTGGAGAAGATCCGCCGGGAGCAGCACCAGGCCCGCTGCAAACTACAGGACATGGAGCGCCGCTTCCACGACCTGGAGACCATCATCGCCAAGGCCAAGCAGCAGTCCATCAAGGAGGATGAGGAGGTCAGCAACAGGAGCTGGCGCGCGTGCGCACACGGGATACTGGCCCCCCCGGGATGGCATGGAGCGGGAGTGAACGGGAAGCAGTGTAGCTCCATTGGGTCGGTGTAAAGCAGGAGTGAATGGGAAGGGGTTTGGGTCCACTGGGACGGTGTGGAGCGGGAGTGAACGGGAAGGGGTTTGGGGTTCATTGGGACGGTGTGGAGTGGGAGTGAACGGGAAGGGGTTTGGGGTTCATTGGGACGGTGTGGAGCGGGAGTGAACGGGAAGAGGTTTGGGTCCATTGAGCACATCTCTTTCATTGTCCTCCCAACTTTGTGCTGTCGTGTTTTGACAGGTCAATGAAGGTGACAGTGAAGAGGCAGATTTCCAAATTTTCTGTGTATCTTGTGGGCATCCAATTAATCCCAAAACAGCCTTGAAGCACATGGAGCGTTGCTATGCGAAGGTACAGGATCCCGTTCCAATGGGGGCACCATTGCCATAGGTATAATTCCGTTCTCCACATCAGACTGGAACAGAGGCGGCCATTCAGCCCCTCTGCCCGAGCCGGTTACACAGGAACAGGAGGCCATTCAGCCCACCTCCCAAACCTGTTACACAGGAATGGGAGGCCATTCAGCCCCTCTGCTCGAAGCCTGTTATACAGGAGCAAGATGCCATTCAGCCCCTCTGCTCAAAGCCTGTTACACGGGTGGTTGGTGGCAGACGACTTAAATTTTGGGTGGCAGGGTGGGAGACAGGAGAGATTCAACGAGATTCAGCTTGATGCTGAGGCTGGAGAGACAGGGTAAGTGGTGCAGAGAGAAAGTCGTTCAAACACAGGCTTAAAGTCCAACGTGACAGGTGGCGAAATTTGGTTTGGGGGGAGGGGGAAACATCTCGAGCTTTGCGGGGGGTGCGGGGAGCGGTAGCAGAGCTACACAGGTCATTTGGGCTGACACAGATTTCTGAGCGAGGTTCAGTACAATACAGCTCAGACGTGAGGGGTCAGAGGCTGGGAATCCTGCAGCGAGTAACTCCCTCCCGACAGCCTCCGCCCCCCCCCCCCCCACCACCACCACCCCAAAGCCTGTCCCACCATCGACAAGGCAGGAGGGTGAGGGCACACTCCCCGCTTGCCCTGGAAGGGTCAGCTCCAACAACACTCGAGAAGGCACTGGAAACAGCACCTACGCTCTGAGGAGGAGGGGGAATCGGTTAATAGAAGGTGCTTCACCATCACCGGTTCGGTTACGGCTCTCTCTCTCTTTCTCACTCTCTCCATTTCCTTTCTCAGTATGAGAGTCAGACATCCTTCGGATCCATGTACCCGACTCGCATCGAGGGGTGAGTCAGAGGGGAGCCCCTAGGAGGGGGTGGCTGGGGGTGCGTGGGTGGGGGGGAGGCACGCGGGCGCGGCGGGGGGGGGGGGGGGGGGGGGGGCGGGAAGTGGAGAGTGGAGAGAGGGACAAACGCCTTGCTCTTGGAGGGGCCAGAGTGCAATTGTTTGGCTTTCGGAAGGGACAGCTGCCGAGAAAGGGAACACGATTGTTCCCCACCCCAAGATGTATTACTGTGCAAG